ATAAAGAAGTAAAGGAAACAATTATCTCTTCTAGTTACAGTTGCTAAGCCTTTAAAAATTTTGCATGAAGAGGATATGAAACAAAATATTTTTTTTAGGTTTTATATATATATTTGAATAACTAAAAAATTATAAATTACTACATCAATACCATAAAAATTCAACTATAATTTATCAAGCTTAGTAACTAAGATGTATTTTACTCAAAAAAATATGAAATTTCGAGCACATGAAAGACACAACCTACCTCATTGAAATCTTGGTTCAAAAGAAATAATTGGCACTAGTCACGTTAGAAAGGCTGAGAAAACCCCCTAGGGGACATTCTGAGCTTCTGATTGGTTATTCATGTCATATCTAGAAGTAAGTGTATATGAGGGAGCATTTCCAAAAATGGAAGGAGGTGGGCGGGGTGCCACTGTGTTTGCAATATCTTAGCAAATAGAAAAGATAAGAGGCTCTTATTATATATTCTAGCTTGTCAGTATTTGAGTTTCTAATTTGTATGAAACTGTAGACTTAGTATTTTGACTTCACAAACATCTAATTTGAATCGGTGCTGCATTCAACATATCATGTGACACACAAAAATCAATATTTATCTTTTTTTTTTAATATTTACTTTTAAATTAAGATATTGAGTAATGTATAGTTTTAAAATATGAATTATAATCTACAACTTGGTATCATAATGAATGACATAAATTCATGAAATAGTAGTTCAATAAAATTTTTAATGCAAGTCAACAAATGAGATAACATGGCCTTTCACTGTGACCCATCTCGAAAGGGTTAAATAAAATTAGTTAACTTTCTGTACATTAGGGTAAAAGTGCATATGTCATGACCTTTTGTGGTGTTACATTTAAAATTTGATTAACCAACTTTATTATGAGTGTGTGTAAGTAAATTTGGAAAGAAAATGCAGTTTATAATTCAAGTTTCTGTATATTGTATAAATTTTAATTTTAAAAAGAGAAATTAAAGAAATGTTTTCAATCTTTATTGTTCTCTGTCACATGACATATCCGAATTCTTTACTTTAGAATTTTCTAATTTGTAAAATAAGCTACCACAGTTTCCAACTAATTAGAAACATGACTACAAACAAGAATCTAAAATTTGAACATCCTACTTTCTTTATTTGATAATATATATAACCAATAGAAAGAGTAGATTTTCCTCTTTGTCAAGTTTACTATCATTCCTTTGAATTTGGTAAGAGCAGTATTCACTGGAAAGAAAAACAGAATTTTAACCTACTTAAAGCTTATATAGATAATTGTAGTTTTGGGACATTGTATTCTAGTGCCTGTTATATTTTTTATATTCTAAGTTGCATATTTGAAAGATACTTGAACAATGTTTTTGGAGACCCAAATGTTTAAGATTCACTGAGGCTTATGTTGGTTACACCAAGAATGCAAAGATCACCTAGTGTTTACATAATGTCTGTGGGGAAAGCTAATGTGGTTCTGCTTTGATTTATTGCTTTTGACAGGGGGGGGGGGGGATAGTTTGTGCAATCAATAAAACTATATAATTATAAAAACAGATCTGAAAAGGTTAACAGTTGAAATTGTGAAGATGAGTAATTTGAAAATCTTGAGACAAATTATGTAACCAAAGTAGAAAAAAATGTATTTTATATTTTTTCAACTTTTTGTTTCACCGCATATTGATGATTTTGCTACAATTAGCGTTATGGTAGAAAAAGTAAGAGATAAAATGTAAAATTTTACCAAAAACTTTTGATATTCATATAGGAGGTTCAAGAGGTTATGTAAATTAAATCTGAACATTTTGTCTTTAGCATGAAAATAACATTACACTCAGACTGACTCAGTAAATGCCTTTTAACTTCACAGACAGATCTTCAGTAAAAAAGTTTAATACAAAAGACTTGTACTGTTTACAAGAAGCTTGCCAAATTTTACAAAGATGCAATTAGTATATTCAGAATGATAGTGTATGTATAGTTTTTAATATTTAATGAAGCATTAATTTGGAATATGTAACCAAAAATAGTGTGTTTTGGTTAGTTATATACTTGATGCAAACTTGAAAATAAATTTCTGAAACATTTACAAAGCTGAATGTTTCCATTTTTCACCGCATTTAAAAATGTATCTTGATTTTTCAAATGTGAAGTCAGATGATTTGTGTATATCAAATCACCATTTTGACAATAAATTCCACATAATGGTTTATAAAATGTTCTTGCATTTAGAGATTGACTGAGTAAATGTTCAACTTTGGATTGTACATGTGAACACATTTTCTTTTACAGCCACATAGTTTCTTTGATTAGGAGGTATTTCAGTTTGAAAGAGTTTCATTTAGGTTATTATGTAGAGTCAAATGATTTATAGAACTTATTAATACTTTCAGATAAAATCACATAATGTGTTAGACATTCTTGAATTGTTTAAAATATATTTACATTTAATGAATTATCCATTAGACATTCTTGAATTGTTATGAAATATATTTATATTTAATGAGTTATCCATTAGACATTCTTGAATTGTTTAAAATATATTTATATTTAATGAGTTATCCATTAGACATCCTTGAATTGTTTAACATATATTTATATTTAACGAGTTAGCCATTATACATTCTTGAATTGTTTAAAATATATTTATATTTAATGAGTTAGCCATTTTACATTCTTGAATTGTTTAAAATATATTTATATTTAATGAGTTAGCCATTTTACATTCTTGAATTGTTTAAAATATATTTATATTTAATGAGTTAGCCATTATACATTCTTGAATTGTTTAAAATATATTTATATTTAATGAGTTAGCCATTATACATTCTTGAATTGTTTAAAATATATTTATATTTAATGAGTTAGCCATTATACATTCTTGATTTGTTTAAAATATATTTATATTTAATGAGTTAG